TCTGCGAATTTTAGAACGTATTAGAAGAAAATTTGAAACTTTATTTTATTGGATTCAACCGCTTTCAAGCTGACCTTTAATTTCATCACTCTTAAGAGTTAAGAGGATAAAGAAAACATCTACTTAAAACATTTAGACCAAACATCTCTTAGTAACTGTAACTTTAAGACCATGCTTCATGTGGAGAATAACCGAAGGAGCTGGCTCGATTTTTTGCCCTTCAACAATCTTAATCTCATAGTTTTGTATGATTTTCACAGCCACTGTCTTCATTTGTATCATAGCCACTTCTTTCCCCAAACAAGTTCTTGGACCGGCGTTGAACGACAAGAACTTATAAGATGGCTCATGGACCGACTTTCCACTCTCAGAAATCCATCTCTCCGGTTTAAACTCCAATGCATCTTCTCCCCAAACCGATTTCATCCTCCCTAATGAGTAAAGACAGAACAAAATCTTCGAGTTTGCGTCGACTTTGTGTCCACTTGGAAGAACGTCAGGTTTAGTAGGAGACTTGTGTTGAAAGGGAACAGGTGGATAGAGTCTCAGAGCTTCACAAATTGCACCGTGTAGATACACCAACTTCTTCAACTCTTGGGGATTGAATGGATCAGAATCAGTCTTGGTTTTTAGAAATAGATTTGTGTTCATTTCTTGAAGAATCTTGGCAATGGCTTCTGGAGTCTTACAGAGAAGCCAGAAGAGCCAAGTGAGTCCAGATCCTGTCGTGTCTCGACCCGCTAACATGAAGGTCAAGATCGTGTCTCTTAGGAATCTGTCGTCACTCGGATTCAACAACTTGTACTTGGTCGTGTCCAAGTTCATGTAAGATGTCAACAAATCTTGAGAAGGAGAAGAAGAATCAATCCCATGGCTTACCTTATCTCTCTTAGAAGCTATGTACTTGGAGCAAACACGATCAAAAGTTGCGCGAGCTTTCGTCATCTTCTTCTCATCTCCTAACCCAAACAAGCTTTGCATTTTCCACAAGATCTCCGGCTTGATATGTCTGAAGAATATGGCTTCCTCTGCATCGTCTAAAGCTTTTGCAAACTCGATTTCCGGCATATCAACCGAGAGACAACCTGGATCATATCCGGTCGCGAAAACACACGTAGTGTCGAAGGTGAATCTTTGAAAAACATCTTCCAAGTCCACAATGAGTTTCTCTTTAGCAACATGATCAAGAAGTGGGACAAGCCCTTTCTCTAGCTTACTCAAGCTTGTAGCTAATGAAAACCTTTGAAACTCNGGATTCATCATCATGCTTTGAGCTGATTTCCTTAGATCCTTCCACAACTCTGAATCCGCATTGAAAATCCCATCTCCTAAAACGTCGAATAGCTTCTTGAACTCGGGTCCCTTAGGGTAATTTGCGAAGTTTGAGCTCATGATGTGGTGGATATTAGCAGGATCAACCGTGACCAGCATGTCGAGGCCCGCGAAACACGGGCCTACGGAAGGATAGGTCAAGTTTGTGACCTCGAGAATCTCGGTTATGAAGTCGTAAACACGATGAATTTCGACTAGCAAACCCGGAATCATACCGAGGAGCGGCCAGTTTGTGGGACACAAACGGTGAGGTTTCTTGTGGATCAAGAAATGTCGGAAGAGGAGGAAACAAAAGAAAGCAATGGAGATTTCAAACAAGCCTATCAAAGCCATTAGAGATTAATTAAAATTGTGTTTTTTGTTCTTGTGAGTTACACCAAATGGCAGCTTGATTCTTGATTATGTACTCATAAGGGATATATATATAAAGCATTTTCTTTGTGCGTCTTTAAAATTGGTGATGTGTCTATAACGTTTGGATAACTATAAAATGGAAAAAAATCTTACTTTCTTTGGTGATTAAGTCCTTTATTCTCTGTTTTGGTATTTTAGGATTGTGGTAAGTCAAAATATCGTCCGGAAACAGTTACACTTATCTGTATATATATATTATATGTAAAAAAGGTTTATTGGATAATGCATTTTTAATTACCATAAATTCACATACATTTAAAATACTTAGCGATTTTTTTTTATTTTAATATGGATTTTCAAAATAATCAAAATACATCTAAAACCCTTTTGTAACTAAAACATCCACATAGATTTGTTATAATTAATGGTTAGCAAAAAAAAAAAAGAGTTGTTAAAATCCATAACTTATATTTCAAAACATTTGATAGAACAACATCTAATTTTAGTTGGTATTTAAAATTTTTGTATAACACAATTTTGAGTAATTTTTAAAATTATTATTTTGAATGACACAAGATTAATATAAACTTTCAAAATTAACTCAAGTTATCATAAAATGATTAAATCATTGAGGATTTTTTAGCGTTTAGAAGGAAGAAATACTATAATAGTTATGGATTTATTCTGGCTATTAATAGACATATATGCGTGCATGCTTTAAAAAAGTTAAGAAAAGAAATGTGACTATCATATGCATGCATGTACCTCGTTTTAGATAATTCTATTAATAGATTTAAATACTCTTAACGATATTAATTGATATGTGGTGACTAGATGTCTACTATTTTTCAAATTTTGAAATCTGCAATGAATTGGTTAAATGTATTTGACTAATATTTATAGATGAACATACCATAAGAAAGAAAGATTCTATACATGTAATTCTACTTCCTTATCAAAGTTTGAATGTTAGTCAGTACTAGCTACTAGCTAGTCAACGTTTCTTATTATTCTAAATTTTCAAAATAATTATATATGTGCCATGAAAAAAAAAATTGTGGCTAATTTGAACTTTATATCATTACATGTAATGGCATGATTAAATTTTTTGCG